CGTGGTACATTTCCAAATGATGATGCATACGATGGACTCTGGACTAGATGCGTTCGTCTAAGTCTTCCTACCAATACGACCAAGTTGCGAAAACAACGACAAACAACTTCTAACAAAGAAAGGAGACTGCGACCACACAAAAGGCCACATCATCTTGGTATTCATACCTTTGAGTATTTAAGATTGTTGGGGGTTTTTCATTTCGTATGAAAGTCAATGAATAATAGATTCGTAGATCGATCTCACCAGAAGAGAACGGATGGCAAGATGCTCTAGTATGATCTGGATAAGTGAAAAATTCAGGTGAACTGTGGACGAGGATAATTTGTGTAATCCTGGAAATACGGTAGATCATCTGACGTAAATTTGTAAAACCTTGTTTTTTCAACTTGGTCATGTTATCAGAGCAATCTAATCGGACGTCCCTTGTCTGAAGTCCTCCGCTATATTATTTACAATAATATCCAGGGTTAGACCAGGGCTAACTAGAACCCATCAAAGCGACAAATGAAGTAAATATCTTGAGCAAATTCTGTCGTACATGTGCTGTCTACAAGCAGAAATATATTGGCGAAGCGAGAAGAAGAATTAGCATACAACTCAAGGAACATTAAAGACCCTGCAGGAAAGTAGATACAAAATATCAAAGATAGAGGAAAAGATTGCATTGCCTGAACATGGAATGAATTGGAAGACAAGAACGAATATTTTCATACGGTGAAAATAGGAGGAAACTGAGGAATATAGAGGCCATTAACATCTTTGAGGAAAGAATTGTAATGAACATTAGATTGGAAGAAGGCAGACTTAGGGATAATTTTGCATACTGCTTGAGCAGATTCTGGAAGAACAAGGTAATCTATCATTAGCCAGTTGATAAAGGATCTCAAGAAAGAAGCGTGTGAGGAACATTCGGAAATCAAGAATAGTCGTTTAAGTCAATTTAGTCTTCTAAAAGAAATGACTACAATTTTGTGGGCCTGGCTGTAGCAGGACTAAAGAGCAGGATAGTCACAAACGTTATAAGAATTTGTTACTATGGCTAGCTGACCAGAGCCGAATTAACTAAAAATTCAACCGATCTGAGGCAAGAAACCTGAGAGAGACTTTCACAGTTTGCTCTGGGTACACAGGTTGGATGCCAAAGATTACCCGTATGGAGAATGCCTAATATCTGCAAGCTTAAGAATCAGAGCCTGGGTTCTCTGCTTATTGAGGTCAAAGAATACATGCTATCAATGATTTGTGACCGATTATGAGAAATTACAGTCTTGTCACTTTGATAAGTTGTAAGTTTGTGCTAGCGATGGTGCCTCTGACTGACGATGCCTACTACCATGTCGACCAAACGTCTGGGAAGGTGTCAAGTAAATGGTGTGGTACTAGATATCACGATTACTATGGCAGAGGACTCAGAGCTAGGTACGTTCCACAACTCTCCTGGTCTCTCCGACTAAGTTTTGATAATGTGGTCAAACCAAAACTATTTAGCAAACTTGATTTCGAAGAAGCCCTTAATAAAATAAGGTTGGAGTACCTTTCATTTCGTTTGAAGGGGTGAGTGGTAGGGATTAGTAAGTTAACTTCACCAAAAGCTGTATGGAGCTTGCCTTGGAACTGTGGCGGTAGATTTGTGTGAATAGGACCTCGGCTAGCAGCCCTGTGAGCCCGAGATTGAGCCAAGGATTTCTTTAGTCTTCACTCAACTGCGGTTCTCCTTCGGCTTTCAGTGAGACCATTTCACAAATTCCTTACATTTAACTCTTCCTTCGAAATGGGCAGTTATGTATCGCCTTAAAAGTCACGTCGGCCCTGCGACTTAATGGTTTGTTGAAAGTACACGCTGCATCAAACAGGTTCGAGTCCCGTTGGGACCCAGGCACCGTCAGGATTGTCATCCAGTCTGAATGGGAATAGCTCTTTGGAAAAAGGCTGTATGAAAGTTGGTGTAAACGTAATGTCTGCTCATAGCATTGTGGAAAAAATCAACTACCATTTCTTCCTCACCTTAAAGGAAATAGGGTGTATACAGTTTGTACGCAGCACGTACTAATAGTATCGAATACTTACTTATAAAACGAAAATTCTTTGGCATTTTAAGGCCCATGATTGTATATATGATTTTTTGAAAATTCATCTATCATTTATTTCTCACAATATGCAGCAAAAAGATTATAATATCTCTTATTAAAAAAGATTTGATATTCTCGAAAAATACTCACTATTGATAAAAGTAGCATCATCAATTACAGTTGCATATACAAGTATTCCTCTCATACATTTCCATTATTATGGTGAAAGGGGAGGGGGCCTGTATTGTCTGGAAAGTCACACCTGCCCTATGAGCCAGTAGCATGCAAATAGTAATATGTCGAAATTGTAGGATGAACTAACAAGGTTCGATTCTTATCGGAGATGATGCTGAGACGCAGCCGAGGTTGAAACCGCAGTCCACTCTGGATAAGGCTAAGTGGGATCCAATAGTATTGTGGGACCTACTCGTATCACTGTGGAAAAATTCAACCATCATTCCTTCACCATCCGATGCGATCTTCAGTGACTTTAGATCTTACATATGGTCTACTGATAACATCAAAATCCTCCCATTCTGGATTAATAATAACAGCTCACGGTTTGTCGAGTCTTGTAAATTGACGTATTATGTTTTACCTGATTCAGTACCATTTTGACCTGACGAGTTTGTGAATACTTCCAGCGAGTCATCACTTGCTCTAGATCGCAAGTGGTGGAAAGATGCTATTTATCTGTATGTGAGCTTTTTGTGGTTAGAAAGAGTGAAACCAACATACACCGGTTATTACCCAAATCTCTTTTATACGTCAGGGAAATAATTAAATTAAACACTAAAGTTGAGGGCAGAAGAATCATGCTGGCGGGGCTACAAACCTAGTCGCCTGGACGCTGTCGGGAAGGAGGATGATGCGATGTGTATAATCCAAAAGAAGTGCAATGATATCCGTTTCAGCAGCGGTGCATTGTATCGCATAACCGGAGATGAACCCAAAAAGATGAACCCCCGGACGCTCAGACGTTGGAGGCAGCAGGAGAGACTTGTGAATGGTAGCGGTGGCGTTCGGTTTATTGAACTCCCCTCTTCCAGACAGGCTACTTTGCCCAGAGAGATAGCAGTGGGCTGAGTTGAAACTGAGTCAGGCAACCGAGGTACGGGAGTCTGGTTTGAGGCAGATGGGCAAAAGGAGTTGCTGGTAGGGCGGAGGCAGCGCTAGGGAGGAGGATAGGAAGTGGGCGTTTAGACTATGACGAGCCAGGCTTCAGTGGGCAAGACAGACAAGCGGCCTTGTCTGAGCTATCCGAATCGGGTTGAAAAGGAGCTGTAGAACAGGAGAGATGAGTCGGGCCTAGGTGTGATACAAGAGGAATGGATGGAGTGTACAAGTACGGCTGATTGGCCGAGCTGAGGGGGCGGGGCAATTGTGCATAGACTTGAATCAAGCCCGACCTAAGTGGTTTGGACTGGCCGGTGGGGTAGATGATGCGAAATAGGTTTAAGTACGTGAGTAGAATGGTTGACAGGAGCAACGATAACTGGATGGTCTGGGCGACAAATTGGTGGATAGATAGCGATTGAGAGGTGGAGCGGCCAAAGTGGATGAAAGGACAGGCTGTATGCAGGCATGGCAAAGCGTTATGGCTACCACCAGTTTGTTGAACGCAATAATTACAAGATGAGCAGCAGCCTTTCCACTAACATACATGCACCCCGGCACACACTAAAGCACACATGAGTGTAGACGCTGGCAGGCATTTACTAGTAAAAACATGCTGCTCTCTCGATAATGTTGGGGAGACCTTCATTTCGTATAAAATTGCATGAAGAATAGATTCCCAGGTTGATCTCATCAGAAGACGACGGCTAAATACGGTTTTACTGAAGACGTTTGGCTTTAATACGATGTTCAAGTTGGTGCAGTACATAAGGCGTCCTTCTTCATTTCAGGTGAAAACAAATTGCGCTTTAGCCCTTACATCATCAGATGTTAATCTCACGTTATCTTCTTGTCAAGAAGACTATCCGACCCAATCTCATCTTTTATACATTCTTATAACTAAGTATGAAAATGAATATGCATAGATAGATATTGGATGGTTTGGCCCTCAGCTTCTGGTGAGAACAATGCACGAATCTCTTTCTCATACAATTTCATAGGAAATGAAGGTTTTCACAATAATGTTATCTCAGGAGCTTCATCGAAACCCAGTCGTTATTCGCATCTACTTTCTTGACATTGAGTACACTGTGCGCTCGAAATAGAATAACAGCGAATCTACACAATGTTGCATTGCAAATTTTTTAAAATCTATTGTGGCTTTCATTTCGTATGAAAGTGTATGAAAAAGAGATTCTTAGAGGTTTTTCGACCTTGTTTTCGCAACTTGGTCAAATTGATAGGAAGACTTAGAGGAACGCACTCAGTCCGGAGACTATTGTACGCATGATCATTTCCAAAGTCTGACCGTGGACGTGGTACATTCACAGACGTTTCACCGGTATCGTCAGTGAGTCTCGCCATTCTTAGCACCACACAACAACTCGTCAAAGCGACAAGTGAAACCGATCCTTTGAACAAACGTATGATAAACAGTTGTGGTATCTCCCCTTCTGCCCTGGGCTATTTACATTTCCTATATCCTCCTATCACACCTTCACTGTTACAATTTTTACTGGGCTTATTTCGATGTAGTGTGGTGTGCTCCTTTGAGCGGCATTCATGAAAACCCTTCACACTCCACGCTGGAATTCTCACCCTTTCCTTCACTCTTGTGTTGGGAATTTTGATCAGAGTTTGCCATATTGTTACTCAGTCCTCCTTCCCCAGGCCTTATCACAGTCTCTCTCAAGGTCAAACAACCTCTATAAAACGAAAGGAGACTG